CTTTACTGTAGTTTACTGTACTACTGTAGTTTACTGTACTTCACTTTACTGTAGTTTACTGTACTGTAGTTTACTTCACTGTACTTTACTGTACTGTAGTTTACTGTACTTTACTTCAGAGTTCTTCAGAGCAGGTGTACACACAGTGTCAGCTTAGATAACTGAATCAGATCATGAGGAGATTAAATATTGTTTTGAGGTTGTTTGTTTTCTGTGAACTGTCAATCAATAAATTTAATCTGGGATGATTTATGATAAATGTCAGCATGATTTTAATTGACCTGTCTGTATGTGATGGTTTCATTTGATCCTGTGGAGCTCTCTGTAAACTCAGTTTGAACATGAAGGAATCACTGATCGTCCTTCTGATGTTAATAATGCTGATGACTGAGATTTTACCGCCATGATGGTTTGTAGAAATGTGATGAATTAGTGTTGAGGATGCTGCAGTTATCTACAGCTGTGTGTACTGACGGCTGCTCTGGACTGTTGGAGAACGTTCTCCATGTGACACAGAGGTAAAATCACTCATTCGTCACTATATTTCTCACTGACAGGTCTGATGAAGGTTTAAAGGCACACATATCGATATGCTAACGCATGTTTCAGGGCTCATCTACATTATTCATGGTGACCTGTGTGGGGTGGAGATGAGGCTTGTGCCCGTGCACCACAGTGACTCAGGTTAATAAAACAGAATCTTCATAAATGTGACCAAAACAAAGCATCTGCACGTTTCTGTTTCTGAGTCATGAATGTACACAGAGTTTTATTTATCTGTCTCCTGGTGTGTTTGGAGCAAAGACCACGCCCCCAGTAAGCTCGTCAGGCTTTGACGCCAAATTTTATGGTGGCCAAACAGTCGCACTGCAGTTTCCAGTCCGTCACCTGAAAGACTTTTTACCACTGACTTATCAAAGAGACGTCTGTGAATCAGAGGAGATGATGACATGTTTCACCGTGTCAGGATTTGATCCTGTCAGTCCGACAACATCTGTTACATGTCAGAGCCACAAACATTAAATCATCTTATTCCCATTCACGTCAGCGAAGCGCTTAACAGGAAGTTCACTGCTCAGCTGGTGGAAGTCTGTAGTGCACCTGCTCTGTGGGCCTGATGATGATCATGTGGTCATGCGATTTAGGTTCATGAGCAACGTTCATAGGATTTAAAGGAGCTTCACTGCCAACGCTGTGTCCAGGTCTGTTAATACATCCACAGAGCCAGAAACAATGATGTCACAGCCCATGTGACCTCCAGCAGAACACACACACATTTAAAAGCCCTGTCGACACACACACGTGCACACACACACCCAGCAGCAACAGTGGTCAGTGGCTTAAAATAGCGCCGTGTGAGAGACTGCGGCGGTGTTTATCAGGAATGCTGAGTGTCTCATTCAGCGGTGAGAGTGCGACCTGAACACCTCCACACTGAATCCATCCAGCGTTCAGCCTCTTCTTCTCTTTGTGCTGTGGCTCTGTGACTGTGTGGGGGGGTCCTCATTATTTGTTTTCTCCACTTTATTGTTTAACAGAAAATATGTACAGTCCCTCTCTGCATATCTCTGTCCTCTGTTTCACCAGCCGTCCTTCCTCTCCTCCTCATATCACTTCCTGTCGTTGTTTAACAGCCTTAATCACTTCCTTCCTTCCTTTCCTTCTCTCCTTCAGCCTCTCCTCTCTCCAACAATCTGAACAATATCTCTCACCACTCAGAGAGGCCACAATAGTGGCAGTCCTCCTCCCCGTGGACAAACACACACACACACACACACACTTTGTCAGGGCGCTATATACAGACTCATTGTGCTGGTCCAGATAAGACTGAGCAGCTGATAACGCTCATGCTCCTAGACGTTCAACTGAAGGAACTAAATACAACATGGACCACTGCCTGTGGGTGTGTTGGTTCAATTCCTGCCAGTTCTCAGAGAAACATTCAGAGGTTCTTTGTGTGTTAAGAAGGATCGTGTCAGGAAGAGACGCAGAGTGAAACAGTTCCTCTGAGACACAGCCTCCATGTTCAGTCAGACATGTTTCTGCTCCTTGTGTGTGTAAGAGGTGTCGTGAGGTGACGTGAGCTCCAATAACAGAGTGAAGTTGTCTCCTCGCCATCAGAGCAGTGCATGCTGGGACAGGAGATGTGACAGATGGAGCAGACAACCAGAGCAGCACATAGATGAACGATAAGCCCCACACCACATCAGCCAAACACAAAGGTTCATACTGCCATAACCAGGACGGCGTGACACACAGAGAAACACATGATGGCCACGCCACGCTCAGAACATGCATCAGACCCATCAGAGGAATATACACACTGTGACATCATCAGCTGTATATTCCATCATACACGTACCCACCACACACCAACAGCATATTAACGTGTGTCAGGTTCACATGTGGCACAGAGAGACAGGAAGTACCTATTGATGGGCGGGCTGTCACTGGGCGACGCTCACAGGGACAGAGGGAGGTCCCAGTCGGGCAGCCAGCCAATGGGAAGAAGAGAGGGAAGAGGACTGGGTAAATCGGGGGGGTGGGGCCAAGGCTTGGAGGTTTCATTTGTGGCGTCGTGTGACGTGTACGTGTTGGTGGTGAATGACCGCAGCATTCACACATCACCACATCCATCATATAACACACACACACACACACACACACACACACCCCATCAGACTCACTCTGTGGGTAACTGGTCCTACTGGTGTCAGGCTTGGTTCTTTGATGGGTTTAATGGAAGTTTGTGTTTTTTGTCAGAGTGGTGTTTCACTGCAGCAGGACAGGTGACGTCCTGTAGGTTTCACTTATTGATCTCCAGGTTTCTCATCATGTTGAACAGCAGCTGTGTTTCCTTCTGATCAGACATGCGTCTCTACACCGGCCTGAAAAACTGTTGGTTTGTTTACAACGTCTCCATGACAACATACACAGCTGATCGTAAACAGACGACAGGACGCGTGCCACAAACTGCAGTAAAAACTGAGATACGTCTCATGAATGCGCTGCAAACAAGACTTGTACTGAAACACAGACCACATCAACATCTGACATCAACATGACGTCATATCAGGAAACACTTGATCTCATAAAGGGTTAATTCAGACGATCAGAACAGAAGGTGTTGCTGTTTACATGACGCATATCAGATTCACACTGTTGTCATATCTGCTTCACTGTGGAACATTAACGGCATATAATCGTAGTCTGTGATCTGGATTAAGAAAGTTATGGACCACATCTGAGAACAAACTCTTCTCCAACATCAAGCAGCACTTCCTGTGATGTCATCCATCACACTGCAGTCTGAGCAGAGTTTACAGCTGGACTCAGCTCGCTGGTGAGGGGCAGAGCCAAACACTGGTCGCAGTGGGAACCAGATCCAAGAACGTTTTAATCCCCACAACTCTGCCCATGTTCCCTTCCTCCTAGTCCAGGACCCACTGAATCCAGGACCCACTGAGTCCAGGACCCACTGAGTCCAGGTCCCACTGAGTCCAGGACCCACTGAGTCCAGGTGCCACTGAGTCCAGGACCCACTGAATCCAGGACCCACTGAGTCCAGGTCCCACTGAGTCCAGGTGCCACTGAGTCCAGGACCCACTGAGTCCAGGTCCCACTGAATCCAGGACTGAGGGCGGGTGGGCTGAGGGTGGGCTGAGGGTGGGCTGAGGGTGGGCCGGGTCACCACTGTAGGAGGATGTGTGTTATTGACTGTCACAGATATTTCTGTAGTTCTGACATGATGACCTCATTAATCAGGTCACAGTTTATAAAGGATGAAACATTTTCAATGAAAGGTGATAAAAATAATAATGATCAGTTTATTTCTGTGACGTTGTCTCTGCTGCTCTAACAGAGACGTCTGTTCAACACTGTGCACTTCTATAACTGATCAGGTATGTTACTGCTGTTAGGTAAGCTACTGTTATTACCTGTCTTTCTTTCTCTGTCTCTCTCTCTCTCTCTCTCTCTCTCTGTCTCTCTCTCTCTCTCTCTCTCTCTGTCTCTCTCTCTCTCTCTCTCTCTGTCTCATTGTGTCATACGGATTACTGTTAATTTATTATGCTGATCTGTTCTGTACGACATCTATTGCACGTCTGTCCGTCCTGGAAGAGGGATCCCTCCTCAGTTGCTCTTCCTGAGGTTTCTACTGTTTTTTTCCCTGTTTAAGGGTTTTTTTTGGGGAGTTTTTCCTGATCAGCTGTGAGGGTCATAAGGACAGAGGGATGTCGTATGCTGTAAAGCCCTGTGAGGCAAATTGTGATTTGTGATATTGGGCTTTATAAATAAAATTGATTGATTGATTGATTGATGTTCCACAGTGAGGCCCAGAGGGAACCATGTGGCGTGTCATCAAACCTGCTGGTCAACACACAGAGCCACAGGTGTTCTGGTCGTATTTCAGTCGGAGAGGAAGGTGAATTATTTCTAATGAAGGTCCCTGTTATCGACGATATAAACCAGCTGAAGGAAACTCTCAGAACAAGTGTCCGCAGATATTCGACTTCATCATACGAGCCGACAGTAGGAACAAAAACTTAGTATCTCAAATATTTTCTGGCATCTTCTGAAGGAATAAATTCAGCCTGAAACGTCCTTGAGTCATCGATCATGTTCAACAGTCTCACATCATGTCTCAAGTGTGCCGACAACACACATTCTTTACATTGATTCCTCTCAGAAAATAATCTGTGTATGTCTCCGTCCCTTCGTCACAGTCGGTACAAACGTTCTCGCTGCAGATGAGCTTTAAAGAAAATTTTTATATCACAGTCCACATGACGATTTAATATCCCTGCTCTACATTTACACCTCTGTGTTTGGTCGAATCAGGTGATGAGTTAGTGTCGATCATCTCTGTGCTGCATCTTCATTTCACAAAGAATCACTCTGTGTTTTGTTTTGAATCCAAGAACAGAAATACACCCCACCCCACACACACACACACACACACACACACACACACACCAGATGTAGGACGGAGACAGACGTACCTTGAAGGCAAACTTTCGGCTGATGTGGTCCTCTGGTCCCACGGCTGAAATGACATAGCTGGGCAAAGGAATACTGCCGAGGACCGACTCCTCTCTGCTGTCTGCAGACAGACAGACAGACAGACAGACATATGGTGGGAGGGACAGAGGGGGGAGACAGAGGGAGGGACAGAAGGGGGAGACAGGGGGAGGGACAGAGGGGGGAGACAGCGGGAGGGACAGAGGGATAATGAGGGTGAGGAAGGTGAGAAAAGGAACGAGACAGAAATATGAAGGAAAGAAAACAGACTCAGATTAAATATCACTCATCACCCACTGATGCCATCACACACACACACACACACACACACACACAGTCATGTGGCGTCATTCACACCATTGTGCTGTGCCAAACAGTAAATGACTGCTCTCTGGTGTCTCTGTGTCAGTGAGCTAAAGCTGGCAGCCCGTCCACGTTCCTGTGTCACACACACACACAGACACACTCACTCACTCACTCACTCACTCCTTTATCTGTGAGGACCGTCAGTGACATCACGCAGTCTTTAACCTTTGACCTTTGACCTGAACTGGCCAATAGCCTCTCAGAGAACAGATGACTGGTACAAACAGAAAACATCAGCTGGTCCTCACAGAGATAGAAGAGACCTGACTGTGTCCTCATGACTTCACACATGTGTGTCTGCAGAGTGTCTGTCCTCCTGTGGACAAGGAAACATCACACTGGGACATCACACCGGGACATCACACTGAGACATCACACTGAGACATCACACTGGGACATCACACTGATACATCACACTGAGACATCACACTGAGACATCACACTGGGACATCACACTGGGACATCATCAAATTATATGAGTGCATGGACACGTGTGCACATGAGGGTGAGTATGTTTGTGTGTGTGTGTGTGAGTGTGTCTCAGTTTGTCTCAGTGTGTGTGTCTAAGGCCTCTCTGTGGATCAAAGGAGTTCTTAGTTAAAAATAATTGAAGGATATTTGGAGGACACATTCTCTGAATGGTGAGAAGGGTTATCTGCTGCATCACTCCATCTCACTGCTTCACTCCACCTCACTCTGTCTCACTGTCTCACTCCACCTCACTCTGTCTCACTGCCTCACTCCACCTCACTCCATCTCACTGTCTCACTCCACCTCACTCTGTCTCACTCCGTCTCACTGTCTCACTCCACCTCACTCTGTTTCACTCCGTCTCACTGTCTCACTCCATGTCACTGTCTCACTCCAGCTCACTCTGTCTCACTTCATCTTACTCAGTCTCACTGTCTCACTCCACATCACTCTGTCTCACTGCCACACTCTGTCTCATTGTATCTCACTCCACCTCACTCTGTCTCACTCCACATAACTCCGTTTTACCCTGCCTTACCCTGTCTCACTCCACCCTCATTACATCTTACTGTCTCACTCTGCCTCACTTTGTCTCACTCCTTCTCACTGTCCCACTCAGTCTCACTGTCTCACCCCATCTCACTCTCACTCAACCTCACTCCATCTCACTGTCTCACTCCATCTCACTTTGTCTCACTGTCTCACTCCATCTCACTTTGTCTTACTCCATCTCTGAACAGACCACAGAGGGACATGTTACAGAGTGTCCACAAAACACAGGGATGTCTTTGTCTCCTCACAGTATTTGTTTCTCTGTTAGAGGATCTCTCTGATTTGAACTGAGGGTTTAATAATTAATCATTTGTATTTTTCATATTTGATTTGAAACAATCATTTTCATCATTGATTAATCTGCAGATTTCCCCAGTAATTAGATTCAGTCCTCAGAGAACAGGACAGAGAAGCACGTCCACTGTGGTGTCTTCAAACTCTTGTGTTAACTGACCTCATGGTTTCTACAGCTAACTTTAGATTTAAGACTTTTTAAAGAAACTCCGGTCAGAGGTCATCAACCTGCTGACCTCAGGTGTTGTTTTGTGGGACGTGAAGACACAGAGACACAGCAGGGAGTTCAGAGTGAAATGTGTCCACATGTCTCAGGTCCAGTGGACGTCTCACAGAAGACACTCACCTTTGTAATAAAACAGACAGAAATCAGCCAGGACGAACCACTTCCTCTTCCAGAGACGCATCCCAGAGCTGTCCTGCAGAGACACAGAGGATAGACAGAGTCAGTGATGAAGAGATGAATGTTGAGACAGAGAGACACTCAGACTGGAGGACAGAGTGGACAGGTTGCTTAAATATAGAAGGATGGGGGTTAATGAGAAGATGAAGGGACAGTCAGAGACATGGACAGAGGACAGAAAGAGCAGTATTAAAGGTGAGTAGAGACAATCATGTGTCCTCGTTCAAACACTTGATGTCCCTGCTTTACTGTCTCCCCTACTGTCCCTCTACAGTCTCCCCTACTGTCCCTCTACAGTCCCCTCTACTGTCCCCTCTGCTGTACCCTCTGCTGTCTCCCCTACTGTCCCTCTACAGTCCCCCCTACTGTCCCTCTACAGTCCCCTCTACTGTCCCCTCTGCTGTCCCCCCTACTGTCCCTCTACAGTCCCCTCTGCTGCACCCTTTGCTCTCCCCTCTACTGTCCCCTCTGCTGTCCACTCTGCTGTCCGCTCTACTGTCCCCTCTGCTGTCCCCTCTGCTGTACCCTCTACTGTCCCCTCTGCTGTACCCTCTACTGTTCCCTCTGCTGTCTGCTCTGTTGTCCCCTGTACTGTACCCTCTACTGTCGCCTCTGCTGTCCGCTCTACTGTCGCCTCTGCTGTCCGCTCTACTGTCCCCTCTGCTGTACCCTCTGCTTTCCCCTCTGCTGTCCGCTCTATTGTACCCTCTAATGTCACCTCTGCTGTCCGCTCTACTGTACCCTCTACTGTCCCCTCTGCTGTCCACTCTGCTGTCCGCTCTACTGTCCCCTCTGCTGTCCCCTCTGCTGTACCCTCTACTGTCCCCTCTGCTGTCCGCTCTATTGTACCCTCTACTGTCCCCTCTGCTTTCCCCTCTACTGTACCCTCTACTGTCACCTCTGCTGTCCACTCTGCTGTCCGCTCTACTGTCGCCTCTGCTGTACCCTCTGCTGTCCCCTCTGCTGTACCCTCTACTGTCCCCTCTGCTGTCCGCTCTATTGTACCCTCTACTGTCCCCTCTGCTTTCTCTCCTACTGTACCCTCTGCTGTCACCTCTGCTGTCCACTCTACTGTCCCCTCTGCTGTCCCCTCTGCTTTCCCCTCTGCTGTACCCTCTACTGTCCGCTCTGCTGCACCCTCTACTGTCACCTCTGCTGTCCGCTCTGCTGTACCCTCTACTGTCACCTCTGCTGTCCGCTCTACTGTCCCCTCTGCTGTACCCTCTGCTTTCCCCTCTACTGTCCTCTCTGCTGTCCGCTCTATTGTACCCTCTACTGTCCCCTCTGCTGTCTGCTCTGTTGTCCCCTCTGCTGTCCCCTCTGCTGTCCCCTCTACTGT